ACCCAATTTTAATTTAGATATTCAGAAACTAGGGTACTTAGCTTTCAAATAACGTATTGCACATGTAATTTGGACTTACAGTTCCTCAGTTATGTACTTTTCCATTTGGGTATGCAAAATAGACTAGGATTATCGAAAATTAGGTGGATGTTGAGAGGTTAATGGGCTGTAGATGAATTCAAACACAGCTTATGATTTGTGAAAATGAAAAATAGCCTAATTTTTATGGCTTTTTAAGTATCTGGCCAACTTAGACCAGCTATTGTGGAGTTCTTTTATTGGGACTTGGTCTATGGTGGCTATTTTTATTTCACAAATCATGAACTGTGTTTGCATTTATCTATAGCCCCCAAAGAACATTTGAATCCAGGTTTGTAAAGCTGTTGTGGTTTTTACACAGGACAACATTAAACTTTCCCAAGAGAAAAAGATTGAGTGGAACAGCCCTTTAAATCCTAACTCAAAACAGAAGCTGGGAACAGGTTTCTAACTTCAGTCTCCTTACACTAAGCAAGCTCTTGTAATGATTTAACTCGGTGTTGAATTTAATTCAGAAGTGCTGAATTTGTGCAAACTTTTCTCATGATCCGTTTTCCTGCTAGATGTACTGATGTGAATCCAGCTGCAGCGCAGTGCACAGCCACAACCGCTTCCTGTAACCGGATCTCACTGCAGCCCGTCATCACAGACCTGGTGAGACTCGTATTACATTAATGTGAAAATAAAAATGACAAGAACCAGAAGCTCTGCACAGATTTAGCTCATAGAAAACTAATACTGGGGACTTCTGGTTAAACCTCAACTTTTATATAACAGAGACCAGAAACCTAAGGCCTTCATAATTTAAACAGAAATGTACTTATTTTATTAATTAAATTAAATAACGGATTTAAAAAGAGATTTTAAGTGGTTTAATTCTTGTCTTTCAGGTGGACAGTCTCCTGCCTCGGCTGTGTGGGAAGGTGGACGTCCTCCTCTTTAACCCTCCATATGTGGTCACTCCTTCAGAAGAGGTAGATCAGCTCTGGCCACTGCTCAGCAGGGTTTTTGCAGCTCCTAAGGTCTGAATGGAACCAGGTTTATCCTTCTAGGTGGGCAGCAGAGGTATAGAGGCTGCCTGGGCCGGCGGGGAACGAGGCAGAGAGGTCACCGACAGATTTCTTCCTCTGGTTGCTCAGCTGCTCTCCACTAAAGGCCTGTTTTACCTCATCACCATAGCTGAGAACAATCCAGGTTTGATTGACTTTTCTATGCAGTTATATGTGGGGAAAAAAAGACCTCTAGCAGATATTTAACCATTTCTCCATCTAACAGAGGAAATCATCGGGTTATTAGGCCAATTTGGACTGGAAGGAGGAACCTGCTTGTCTACCAGAGCTGGAAATGAAAGGCTGTCTGTCCTGCGCTTCCATAGAAACCAGCTGACCTGTTGCACCAGCACCACAGAGTCCTGAGAAAGGTAGGATTGTTCAACCTTAAACTGATTAGGCAGACTGGAACAGGGAAAGTATTGTTAATGCACTCATCTGGCATCTTTATGAGGTAAAACACCAGACTCTGTATGCTTCCATACAACTGATAAATTATTAGTCATGTTTTATTCAAACCAGCTGTAATGATGGATCAAATGAGAAAATAAAATATAGTACAAAACAGAATACCAAAAGTATAACTCAATAATATAAAGTGGAGTCAGTTAACTGACCAATCAGACAGATGATCACAACTTTCGCTCGCCATTGGTCATGTTTTAGGTACCAGATCTGATCGGGATCCTGCACATGCCAGTGATGTTACACTATATGATTGGCTGAATGTTGCCACATGACTTAATGTTGTGGTTGCCCAGGAAACGAAAACAATGCACCGTCTGTCCGTGTTCTGAGTTGGGAGCATCTGTAATGTTAGCAGGTTTAATGACCGATTAAGTTTTACTTGATTAATAGCTGAAAATTTTTTTGATGGTGAACAAAGTAATAACGAGACCACAATATAAAGGGGGAGAGCTGTGGCTAAAGCTACACTGCTTTTAAGTTTGTGTTAGCAACAACCAAAATATGTTTTATTTGTTTAAAATCTATAAAATTCATTTAAGGTGTTGAATTTGTCCTCCCCTGCCCTCAGATCTCAATAAAAAGAAGCAGAGTAATTTTGTGTCACATTGTTAAATGGCAATTCTCAGACAGTCTGAGAATAATTGCTTTCTTCTCTAAACTACTTGACATCCTTGATGAAACATAAAATAAGAAATATGGGTAATATGTTCGGACTCTGGAAGAGATTTTAGAAACAGGCGTAATACAGTTTGTCCGAATGGCTTTGCCATATGATGTCATCATAAGGCCCCCTAGCAGATCTGGTACCTACAACATAACTCCGCCTCCACGCACAGCATTATGGGATTTGCTTGTCTATTGACCATGGATGATCACTGCTTTTCAAGTCCAGTACTTTTTTATCCTCTATATAGTGATAAGGGCGGACATTCGGACACAGCCTCAGTGAATTTTCAGTCAGCTCCGTTGCTGTTAACAAGAAAATAATTATACTAGGAAAAGGATCAAAATTTTTGTTTTTTCCAAAGCAAGAAATCAGATTAGAAACTAAAGTAATGAAAAGTTATCAGTGGAGGATATTTTAAACAAAATCTAAGCAACGTCTAATACACTGTTAAATTTATACCAAATTAGAGATAAAACAACAGCTGTGCCCCTTCATTATTCAATTCTATTGAAAATATCCGTGTTGTACCTAATAAAGTGGCTACTGAGTGCATTGTAGAAATCAAAAGCTGAAGACGGGTGAAAATGTTTCCACATACTTTTAATCATGCAGTTACTCTGACATCATCACAAGTCCAACCAATCAGGCTTTGTTGCTGTGCAAATCTAAATGGAATGTAGTTTTTTTTTTTCTTAACAAGCCTCCATCATGTTCTACTGTAAACAAAACACACAGATCTTAATACTTTATGTAACGTTTAGAGACAGTGTCGGTTTCTACCAGTTATTTTAGATCTAATTAGGAAGGACGCGCTGCTAAACGACATCATCAGGGTTAAACCTGCTTTAGCTCTGTGGCTTCCAGACAACCTGTCCGTCCTCCCCCAGCTGCACGGCTCCACTGGCCACCAGCTCCATGGCGGCGGGGAAAGCTCGGTGCTCTGCTTCCCTGATTCGTTCTGACAGACTCTCCTCTGTGTCTCCGACCACCACTGGCACCGCCTCCTGGACAATAATGGCTCCTGCATCCACCTCCTCCTGAAAAAACAAAAGGCCTTTGATGCTACCAAGATCAATACACCAAAGTTATCGGTTTACTTTTTAACATGTTTGAGGTGGGAGTGTCATGGTCTGGAGATGCAGAAGAAGATGCGGTTGAAATGAGCTAAAGTCTAAGGGGGGAAATTTAAAGCCATTTTATGTTTTTTAAATAGGACTGTTCTAATTGGATATAATTTGAGTCTAAAGCCTTCTGCAGGATGTTTCAAGTCAGATGAGATTTAGTTAAATACATCTGCTTAGAGCCAGAAACTACTCTAGAAGTTGGATTACAAGCTAACGGGTCTATGACATCACAGAACATGGGAAATTTAGCAAAATCTTGTTCGAGTAGATCGTTTTACTGTCATATCTGGATTAATCTATGAGTGAAGGAGGAGACGCAGTAACTTACTGCCACGAAGTGAACGGTGCATCCAGCCAGCCTCACTCCCGCCTGCAGAGCCTGTTTCTGGGCATTCACACCTTTAAATGAGGGCAGCAGGGATGGGTGGATGTTCAGCAGTTTACCTGAACGGATGAAGAAAAAGCACACTGTAATTATGTCAAGGTTCATTTAAACAGAAAAAGGCTTTGTTTTTGTTCTTTTACCGGTCCATTTCTTGACAAATGTTCCAGTTAGGATCCTCATGAATCCAGCCAGACAGACCAGCTCCACTCCAAATTCCTCCAGCACGCGGTCGATGGTGCCATCAAACTCCGCTCGGCTCCCGTACAGCTTATGATCCACCACCTGGTATGGATCCAAACAAAGCGCTAAAATGATAAACGCCTAGCAGCAGTCGTTTTATTTTGTTATAATAGTAACTCAACCCTGGAAACCTTTGATACACAAATTCAGAGGAGCTGAAGAAACTATTAAAGTCATCACTGCTCGGCTTCTCATTGTGTTCAAGCTATAGCCAGGAAATATTCAATACCATTAAAATAATTTTTATAACATGTAAAATGCCTTTTCAAAAGAATCAAAGTTAAATGAATGTGCTGACAAAAACAAATTTATTAGCTCAAATATTTATTAGCTCAAATATAATCTTACAATAGTTTTCTGAGGTACTCTGCAAATAATATTTAGTATCGATTTTCCAATTTAATAAATCGACTTCTAAATGTTCTGCAGATACTATAAAATTCACATCTGATGTTGCTAAGTAATAGAGTGCTATAGATCAGGTGATGAGGCTAGCAACAGTCACCATAGAGACTAGATGGTTCTAACAGCTTTACTTTGTTGTCTGCATTACAAATTACAGAAATGTGTCTAATCATGCTGACAACCAGCTTAACAATCTAAATGAGCATATAAACTCTTTTGCAATTAATCTAATTTAACATTCTAGTTTGGTAGACAAGCTCAAGGCGTATGTCTCGAGCGCATATGGGGCAGGAAGAACTTCAATCAGAACTTATTGAGTTAAAGTTAAGTAGAATTTAAGAATTTATCAGCACTTAAAAAATAAAACATTGTTGTCTGGTGTTTAACAAACGTACCCGTGTCTGGATGCCAGCCAGAGACGCCCTCTTCAGACCCTGAACCCCAGGCCTGTTGGAGATGACCACCACAATCTCTGCTGAGCTGGAAGGCCGTCTGGCCCGCTCTATCAGGGCCTGCAGGTTTGTGCCTGGAAGGTCCAAACAGAAAAACGCTGAGATCAAACAAATCACAAAGAAATAAATTCCTTTAAAGATAAAGGTAATCTGACAGACACCTGTCCCAGAGATGAGAACCCCCACTCTCATCCTTTTACACGGTGTGATGCTGTTTCCAAGGCAACCACTACCCTCTGCCTCCAGTTGCCCGCCGGCAGATGCATTTAGCAGGCTCTGCTTCAGGTTGCGAACCACCACAGGTGACGCCCCTGTTGGATCCAAACAGTTGTTTTTTTTTTAACAGTGCTGCATTTCTAACCAATCAGAATCTCTAATCATTGTTTTCTTACCAGGTTGCTTGTGGACCAGTGAACCCACAATCCAGGCCTCTTCGTGGCCCTGAAGCTGCCGTAGGACCCTCTGAGCATCCGGCGGCGCCACCACCAGCACCGCCCCCAGGCCGCAGTTGAAGGTGCGGGCCATCTCCTCCTCGCTCAGACGGCCTTCCTTATGGAGCCAGGAGAAAACTGCAGGGATGCTCCACTTGGACGCATCTGAGCCACAGAAACAATTTTATTTAATTTCATTAAAGCATCATATCAAAGTATAGAGTGCTTTCATCTCACCTAACTCCACAGCCAGCTGCTTAGGGAGCACCCTGGGGATGTTTTCCAGGAGACCCCCACCAGTGATGTGTGCGTACGCTTTGATGGCGCCGCTGCGGAGGATCGGCAGCAGCAGGCGGCTGTAGATCTTAGTAGGAGTCAGCAACACCTCCCCTGGAAGCAACATACAGCTGAGCCGATTGCTGGATGCAGAAAACCGAAGTTTGGGAGCGAGTCACTCACCGACAGTCTGTCCCGCTTTACCAAACGGAGCAGGGGAGCTGTAACTCAAGGCGGCTCGCTCCAGAACTTTGCGGACCAGGCTGAAACCGTTGCTGTGAAGCCCAGAGGAGGCCACTCCGATCAGCAGATCCCCCTCCGCCACGTCGTCCAGCCGCGGCAGCAGGGTGCCCCGCTCTGTGGCGCCCACACAGAAACCAGCCAGGTCGTACTCCCCTGGAGGATAGACGCCTGGCATTTCTGCCGTCTCGCCTCCTGTTCAGAGTTCACAGACGTATAATCGATCAGCCTTTTGTTTGCACTTAGTGAGAGTCCAAGTGTCTATTATTTTACCCAGCAGGGCACAGCCAGCCATCTCACAGGCCTTTGCGATGCCGCCGACCACAGAGGCAGCAACCTCCACGTTAAGGGAGCCACAGGAGAAGTAGTCGAGGAAGAACAGCGGCTCTGCACCCTGAGCCAACACGTCGTTGACACACATGGCCACCAAATCCTGACCAAGGCTGCAATGCTGTCCACAAGCCTGAGCAATCTGGAAAACACAAACAGAACTAAATAAAAACCCAGCTTTCTTTCATTTTGTCATTTCCTGCACAGATAACTGATATAAGACGACAAAAGTATTTGCATGAAGCTAACCTTTAGCTTAGTCCCAACACCATCCGTCCCTGACACCAGGATCGGGTCCACAAACCCTGCTGCTTTTAAATCAAACAGACCAGCAAAGCCTCCCAGTTCTGCGTTACAGCCTGGTAGACAAGAGGAAACATCACCCTGATGCAAAACCACAGGTTTCTATGACTGTTCATGGAGGAGGGAGATGGTTACCGGGGCGGGAGGTGGATTTGGCCAGAGGCTTTATCATCTCCACCAGCTGGTTCCCAGCAGCGATGTCCACTCCACTGGCCTTATAGCTGAGGCTCCTGTTGGAGATTGAAAGTGAAAAATCGAACAGATAATAAAAACCTGCTGATTTGGACCATTTTTTTGTACAAACCTGCCCTGGTTCAGATGAGCGATGGCCCGGTGGGCGATGTCTCGCCTGTACACGGCACCTGGGAAGCCGACGGTTGCCACACCCTGATTGGCCGCCTGCAGAGCGGCCTCTAAGGTGGACCTCACCGCCGTCACGGTCAAGACTCTGCCTCCGCTCGATACAACGCCCCCGTCCTTCAGGGCGGTGCCTGCGTGGAACACCTGCAGACCCAAATCCTCCACCTGGGACAGACCTGAAGGAGAACAGAGGCTCTAAACACAAGAAACTAAATCTGAGATAAATTTAAATAAAACCCCCCTGAGCTGCACCTGTGATCTCCACTCCTTTCTTGTAGGAACCTGGGTATCCAGCACTGGCCATCACCACGGTGACCGCAGAGCTGTCCTGCCGCCACACGGGGGTGTTGGAGGCCAGTTTACCGCTCATGGTGTTCATGATCACTTCATAGAGGTCGCTCTGCAGCAGAGGCAGCAGAACCTAAAACAGTAACCGTGTTAATACAGCAATGAATATATATTTAACATATTTTTAAACTAAGACCTCACACATGCAAAACGTGTTAGAGCATCTACACTTGTATTAGAGCAGCTCCTGATACTTCTGGAGTATGGGTGACACTTGGCTGCAGTTTTCAGGGACCAGGAACCTCAGCTCTCAAGTTTGTATCAGAAAGTTCTGCAGTGTTACTGGTAATTCTAGTTTACAGCTCAGTGTGATTTGATTGCAGTAACACTGTTCACAGTAACATTTATATTTTTTCTGCACACTCTGCATAAATATTCTCCATGACCGGATCAGGCCAGTTAGTGAATGCTTGGTCAACAACTGAAAACCCAAGTGTTCAAAGTAACGAATTAAACTACTTAAAACTCATATTTTTGTAAAAACTGCTGCATTAAATGATCCGAAAAAATGAAGACAAGTTATACTACTTCAACACAGTCTGAATTATATTTCTTAAACATAACTTAAAAAGAAAATACTTGAACACGTGACACTAAGGCTACAGCGTTTATACAGGGATGAGGAGATCTAATTTAATGCCAATAGAAATGTGTGTTTTGACTTCGTTCACGGCTGTATACAATAGTCAATTATAGGTTCCTCTATCCTTCTAAACAAAACAATGTTCTTGTAGTCAACATAAATTGTGAACAGCAATGTTTTTGTTCCATCAAGTGTTTGTACTTCTCAATGCCTCCGGACGTTGAAATTGATGCTTTTTAATGCCGTTTAAGGCCTTGATTTTCAGAGAATCTATTTAATTACTTTTAATGACCCACGGAGACCCTGGAATATTAGCTTATTAGCTAGTATGTGTCGCTAATGCTATATGATGACGTCATTAGAAGGGGCAGGGCCCCTAACAGATCTGGTGCCCACAAATGAACGTCTCAAAAACCTGCATGAGGCCTTTACTCACAGATGTCGTTTGGCTCGCTGTCACTCCTCCTCTCATCCTGCTTTTAGTTTTCTTTTACTGTTTTCTGCTCTCTTTAACACTTAGCACTCTGTAACTCTGTATTTCTTTGCTGCCTGACAGTTGTTTGATGCCTCCACTGTGTTGACCAACGCCATCATAACTCCACCTCAAATGTGTGCAAACTTTTCTGACTTTAGATCCACTCTGTTCTGGACAGCAACTCTCCATTTGTAGCATCCTCCTGTGGTGTGATAGAAGGATGACCCCAGTGAGGTCACTGGCTTTACAAAAAACTGCCACCCTCTGCTGTTGCATTTGTATAGCGACCCCAGACAACTGTCAGCCTGTATAATTGGTTACACCCCAATTATAAAACGCCACATTTTCACCTAGTTTTTAATGAAAATACCTTGTCTTATATTCAGGCCAATACGGTAATATATAAATAAATACATTTAAATGTAGGAATTGTACTGTTTTATATTTAATTAATGGAATAAAAAAGTACATCAACATCAATGCCACCAGATTTTTCCATTCAACTTGGTCTGAGTTAATAAACTTGAATGGTTTTAAGGCAACCGGTTTGCTCGAATCATTTCGTACAACTAATTATAAAGTTTTACAGTGAGTGGTTCCCTCTGTGCAAAACAGATCAGCTAGCAGACCCGGTCGAGTCCATTAATGTCAGCTCAGGTGCTGCCATATGTACAACCTGGTTTAATAGATAAATGAACTAGAAGGTCAAATTTTAGCATCAAATTCAGAATATGTTGAAGAGGTGCAGATCATTTTCATACCAAGTAAAATTGGCCTCAGTTTGAGCTTATTTTATTTACTACCTGTAGGAACCTTGATCTAATAATAGAGGATGATTGAAGCCAAGCAGCACAACAACGCCCACCTGGCATTCTGGGTCTCCGAAGCGACAGTTAAACTCCAGGACCTTCGGCCCCTGCTTGGTCAGCATCAGACCTGCGTACAGAACACCTGAAAAAAACAAAACAAGCATTAGATATTGAATATAAGGACGTTACTTAACATGTTGGATGAAAGAGAAACTCTTGCCCTTATAAGGAGTTCCTTCCTCTCTCATTCCATCCACAGTCTTCTGCAGGATCGTCTCTCTGATCTGCTGCAGCAGCTCCTGACTCACCTGTGGGGAATAAACTAACATTTAGTCTACTGTATTGAACTACTGTAGTGAACTATTGATGGTGATCCTCCTACTTGCGGGGTGGGGCAGTAGGCTCCCATTCCGCCCGTGTTTGGCCCCTGGTCTCCATCATGAAGGCGTTTGTGATCCTGAGCGGGAGGCATTGGCGCCACCGAGGTTCCGTCGCTAAAGCACAAACACTGCAAAAAAAAACAACAAAAAAACGACATGAAGCGGTCGGCATCATCGTGATTCCAGCAAAGGTCAATGACGGACAGATCAACTCACCGACACCTCCTCTCCTTCCAGAAGCTCCTCAACCACCACTGTTTCTCCTGCGGACCCAAAGGCTCTGTCCTAGAATGAAGCACAGCTGTGATGATATCCGTTATCCATGATTGATTTTAGAGCCTTTAAAAAGAAAATGGCTTCTTGTTTTTTAATTAGATTTAAAAAAAGAATCCCTCCAATTTAAATCAAATCTCTGTCTGTTATAAAACTGAAGTTTTTTGTTTTTCACAGGTAACTTTGTTGTTGTAAAAATGAACATATTTATTTGAGCTTCATGCTAAAGACAGGAAGACCCTTAACCCCAAACTGCTCCCTAAGGGCATGGGTTAAATGCAGAGGTAAATTTCTCCAAAGTGAGATCAATAAAGTTCATTATTATTATAATTATCTCAGAATATTTAACCAGTTATAAAGCCCTTTGGACGCTAGGTGGCGCTTGTTTGGAGCTCTTTTACAAAATGCAAGCAGCAAATGAAAGGAAAGACTTTGGCATCACAAGCTTAACATAGAAGAGGAAAAAATTACAAAAGATTAGGAAATATAAAAAAAGGACTTTAAGTCAGGATGGAAAATGTTTGTTTTGAATTTCAAATAAATTTTAAATAAATTTATTTAACTCCTTTTTCTTGTTTACTATAATTTAAGGTTCTTGTATTTGATCCATGTTCACTTTTGTTAAATTACTAAATGTATGATATCAAACAATAAAAAGAAAATTTCTAAAATCTGAAGTTTAAGCACAATTATTGAAATTTTAAGTAAAAAAATACTTTTTTTATGTTTAGCAAAAATTAACAAATATTTCAATAATCAATTCATATAAATAAAATGTTATATCTTTGACACATTTTGAGTCCTGTATTATTTCTTTAATTACAAATTAATGTGAAGTTTTATGGACCAGTGGTCATGCTCCTGGTTCTCCTTTGCATGTTTATTAACGTGTCCCTTTATATCTGGTGCAGCCCGAGAATCACAAAGTTATGGGATATGGAGAATAGCTGCCTAGCTTTCTAAGCGTCGTGTACATTAAACCAAAGAGTTCGATTTTTTTTTTAAATAAAAAAACCCCACACAACAATGAGTCTCATAAATTATGATAATCCCACGCAAAAAAATTATATGTACTGCAAATACATAGAAATATAGTATAAAACACAATTTACAGGACACGTTTCTGAAATGTAATCTGATTTTTGCAGCTAATTCAATTAAATTCAGTTTGTTTATATCGCACCAATTCACAACGCGTCATCTCAAGGCAACAGAGTCGTTTTTAATTGAAGGAAAACCAGTTGAATGCATTAACTCGAAGGGAATCGCTCACACCGAGCATGCTTATAGCGACAGTGGAGAGGAAAAACTCCCTTTTAACAGGAGAAAACCTCCATCAGGCTCAGCATGAGCAGCTATCTGCTGAGACCGACTGGGCTTCAAGGAGACAGAAGCAGGGATACAAAAGGCCAGTTAGAGCCTCATGGGAGTCATAACCTATTTTACATAAACAAATCTTCCAATCTTTGACTTTAAAGTCATGTTTGATCAGTTTTAAGAGAAAAGAAAATATCCAGTTGAGCTCTTTCAGACCCCCTTTTCATGCTCACCTCTTCTTTTGTTTGCGAGGGTGCAGAAGAAAATTAGCGCATCCATCAGCTGTAGTGTAAGCACTATTTGAATAGTGCTGGCAGTTAGGAAGGAGCTAGGACTAAGAAGCAGGACGCCTACCGGCGTCATTTAGCATAGGGACCTCCTGACATCACTAACCGGAACTAGAAATTATGCAGGCACGAAGAAAGAACAGCACTGATGATAAAGAATAATGGCCGGTTACATGGAGAGAAAAAGAACAGAGTACAGTAGTCTGCCTCCAATAAAATTGGCTAATATTTATTTCCAGTCCAACTGCAGTGGTGATTATCTTGGATTAATGGTTTAATCGCCCTCTACCTTCATGATGTCCATGACGGCCTGGCAGGCTTCCTCCTGATCTCCAGCGACGATTACTCCTTTCCCCGCTGCCAGACCGCTGGCCTTCACCACCAGAGCTGGGAAATTGGCACTGGAGAGGCAACAAAAAAGGATTTACAACCCAGATTTTAGCCCTGTGCGTTAAGAACACCACCCAAAGCTCAAAACCGACCTGCGGATGTAGCTGCAGGCCTCCTGTGGGTCTGTAAAGGAGCCGTAACGAGCTGTAGGGATGCCGTGACGCTCCATGAAGGCCTTTGAGAAGCTCTTACTGGCCTCCAGCTGAGCCGCTTTAGCAGAGGGTCCAAAACACGCCACCCCTGCAGCCGTCAGGTCGTCCACCATACCTGAAGAGACACTACAAGTTAGGAACACTGAAAGATTTTCATCCTAGAGTGAAAAACTGATATGAAGACGACTTTACCTGCTGCCAGAGGAGCTTCAGGTCCAACTACAACCAAACCAACATGGTGGTCCTTACAGAACTGAGCCAGGATGGCATGGTTACTCACAGAGACCTCTGCAGAGACACAAAGCCAAAGTGTTGCTTTTGACTGAGTTCAAGATGATGAACTTGGATCCATCAGGATTTTTATTTAGAAGTTTTATATTTCTTGAACATTAAAGCTTTTAACCTCTTAATATTTAACCGATTACCGGTTTTATATGTTTACATTAAAAACAGCAGTACGCTTGAAAATAACACCGGTTGACTTTTACCAACATAGACAAGTTGAAAATCCTTAGAAAGCGTGTTAAATTTAAAATAAAGCTTGACTTCCTACCTTTGAAGTGATCCTGAGATCATATAAAGTCAGTTTTTACCATCAGAAAAGTTCAATCCTTATAGCTAATCCTAACAGTCTTGCTAATTACTTTAGCTTCCACAAACATTTCTGGTCTATCTTTGGTATGTTTGTTTTCCGCACCTTCCAGTCTACAAATCAAAAGTATCCCCGACAATTTCGGTTGAGATTTGACGCCGGGACAGCCCTCGAACGCGCTCCCTCTTAGCCGCCATCTTTACGCATGATTCCCTTCAAATTATGGCTCATAAAGTCCAGCTGCTATTGGTTAGGTCCAGGTGCAATATATGGCTCTCTAGCCAATGAAATCACCTTTAAAACAAGGCTAAACATGGCTAATTTGAATAGTCCAGCCCAGATATATTGCTGGTTGTAAAGGCACAGAGGCAGATTCGATCCAGGAACATTGAACACTGTTAGATAATTAGATGGAAAGTTAGAAAAAAAAAAAATATATATATATGCTTCAAAAATGTTTTGTGGCCATCAAAATGCTCCAAATGCTTTTACATCGCTTTAAAAAAAGAGAAGAGTTGGACAACACTCTGATCCAGGGAACCATGGTTAAATATGTGAAGTGATTTCTTAATGCGGCGCAGCAGATCCGCAACACAAAACAGACGTGGGCTAGCTTTAATTTTCTGTAGCCTATGCAGTTATCTTCTATGTTTTTGTTCAATTAAACCGTTTGTTTCAAACTTTATTTTCAGATTTGTTAAAAAAAAATGAACCAGTGGCATAGCAGAGCTGACGCACAGTACATAAGTTATATAGGCTACCAGAGTTATGTCTGCGCACAGCGCAGTATACTGTAAATAAACTTGCATGATACTGTAATAAAACTCAGTAAATGCAGAAGCTATCCGTTTCATTTCATTTTTCTCATTGAAAAACCACATAAATTGCATTTAGATGATATTCTAAATTAAAAATAAGTGAAATAACGGTAAATTCGGTTTTAGTAATCAACCGCTTATAGTGTTCAAATTGGCTCTGGACCAAGGTGATCACTATAAGCAGATTCCACTCACCTAGAGGTGTGAAATTTTCTGCAGTTGTTGACATAATGCAGAATTCATGTAAAATAGTCTTTGTTACCGCTATTCAAAAAAATAAAAAAGAATGTTTTTTTCGAGAAGAAAAAACCCCAGCTATGAGTCATGTTTGAACTTTATTTCACACCATTTTAATTTATATTTTAAGAAACTAGAAGAATTTGGGCTTACAGTTCCTTAGTTAATTTCTTATCCAGTTGGGTATGCAAAAAGGCGCCGTTTACTTAAAATGAGGTGGATGTTACAAGGTTAAAAAGCTTTGTTTGTTCTAATTGAATGTGTCAATTTTCTGTTTGATGGCTTCTGATCCACAACAAAAACAATAATGCAAAACGGTTTGCATGTTTACCAGAGTTGCTGATCTTCCCACAGTTGGCCGTTCCTGCGTTACCCGGAACCACAAGAACCTGCTGAACCTGGGGCGACTGGGCCAACTTCCAGGCCAGCGCGTGCTCCCGTCCGCCACCTCCGACCACCAGCACTCGCTCCGCCATTGCAACTGGGAAAAGGAAACTCAAAACTTATCATACAGATTCATTCTAAAGACAGATTCTCGCTCCATATGTGAAGTCACCATATAATTGCATGCAAATGCTGACCTATACGCGTATAAGGAGGGGGCAGTTTACTGAGCTGGAGAAAAGCGCTGACCTTTTCCTGAGGAATGGGGGGTACTATATTATCTGGTGAAATCATGCAAACAGGGATGCAATCAGCCGGAACAAAAACACACGTCAACTATTGGATCAAAAGGTGGGTAGAGATTTGCATTGACAAACAAACATTTAATCAGTGGACTAAATCTGCACAGATCTGCAACTGTGTGCAGAAAAGCCAAGATTACTGTCTAAATAAAAGAACCGACTAATCACTGGGACTGAGATGCAACACAAAGAGTTGAGTGTTGGACTCTGGCTGCACATGTTTAACTATTAGCCAAATCAGTTCCTTTGATTGGAGTCACTCTGCTCATGTGACCCCCATGCCACTATGGAGAAAAATGCATGACAAATATGAAGCTTTAGGGAAACTAAGAATGAAAGATATATATACAGATTTTATGCATCTCTATTGTTTTTACTTAATGAATTAAAATGCATCCTTTTTTTTTATATTTTACTATAATTACCAGCTTATTTATCTAGAAAATTAAAAAAAACTCTTTTCCATCTGCTCATTAATTCCTAATGTTTATTTTTAAATGATTTTAGCAGCAATGACACAAAAAGAAAGCAGCAAGAGAAACTAACCTGTCAGTGTTTGTGTAAAGCAGGAATTAGTCGGAGCCCAAGTTCACTGATGTGAAGTCTGTGTTGTCTGCGGGTGGACTGACCCTGCGTGGGGGCTGCAGAGGGGAAAATACCACGCATCACATAACACGAACACGCACCACGTGAATTCAGTGATGCACGGCGACAGAAAGATAGAAGTTAGCAATAAAACCCGAAAAGAGGAGAAATACTGGGTAGATTGACAACACGTGTGCTCCTTACCTTCTCCAGGGCGCAGAATGATTGGAAGCAAACTTTTTGGGATGTTTCAACTTCCTTTTGGGAGTGAACGCGCAATGCCTCATGGGAGATGAAGTTCTTAAGCCGCAACGAGCTGCTAGCTAAAGTAAATACATAACAGAAACAGTTCCATGTATGTTTACTTAAAAAAAAAAAAAGTTTAGTAGCAAAAAAATGTGATTCAAGTTAAATTATCAAGAACAACACACTAGTTTTAACATATCTAAAACACACGGAATAAAATACCTTTGGTTTTCACACATTAAGATTAAAAATTATTTCATAATGCTGGGAACCAATTCCATCACATAATTGTATGTCTAAACGTGATTTTCACAAATTAAATCACCCTAAAAAATTATTTCTCAGTGGGAAAGTACCCCTTTTACACAATTTAAACATCAGATTTTTACTTCTTGCTTAATACAGATATTTTGAAATAGTTTTTTCTGATATAAGAACCATTTCTTGTTACTCTACTGAATTAAAGAAAACCTTTAGGGAATCCTCAGGGAGCATTTTAGATGCAATAATTTACATTTGGTGTAAATTACATATGGTGGCAATTGTAAATTATAAATGCAAAATGTATTTCAATATCCTACATATTATTTCTATTTTAATCAAATATATATATATATAGAGATAGATAGATAGATAGATAGATAGATAGATAGATAGATAGATATATCTATATCTATCTATAGATATATGTATCTATATATTTATAGATATATATCTATATATAGAGATATAGATATATATAGAGATATATCTATATCTCTCTATATATAGATATATAGAGAGATATAGATATATATCCTAAATCTAAATGTTAAAATTGAAATCTAAACATATCTTTATTCCAAATGCTATATTTAAACACATAAATGTCAAATCTAAAAATAAATCTATACATCTAAATCTCAATACAACTTTAATACATTTTTTTCCATCATATCTAAGCATATGCCTGTAATACAAATGTTTAATCTAGAACATGCATCTTTTATCTATGTGTGTTGAATGTATACTTTAAATCTAAATATATATCTTGTAAACTAAATAAAAAAAAGGCATTTTTGAAGGATCCCGCCCACCTCCCCTTCTCATTGGTGTTCCAGCATGCTGGGGCCGTGGCCACACATTATGCCATTAAAGAGGTATGTTCAATTAGCATATCTTCAAAAGATTTAAGTCTGAGATAAAAGATTGAGACCAACTTTTGTGTTCCCTAATAATATGGAGGGAACAGTCTTTGGTGGTTCTAAGAAAACAGAGTTTTTACTTTTTTAAATTACTCTGAAGGACCCTTTAGGGAATGTATCCTGAAAGTGTAAATTTTTAAATTCTGAAAAAGAGCTCTGGTAAAAGCCGCAGGAAATCTTTTTAGTGTTTTCTGAAGGTCCTTTAAATACTCAGGTCAGAAATGTTCCTGGTATTTTTCTAGAAAAACACAATTTAACCTTTGATAAATCTTTCTCAATTGTATCCTGAAGGCTTCCTAAAGGTCACATTAAAACAGGTCAGCCTTTAGAGAACCTTCCCTAATAGTTTTATAGAAACACACTGAACTAATCATGTGAGAATCTCAAAGGATCACTGTCTAAAGGTTACAAAGTCAAACCTTTTGAAAGTAGATCCCTGAAGGTTCTCTACATGCTTCACTGCAGCATTTGTGATGAACCCCAAGGAAACCAATGGAAAACATTCACCATTTCTAGATCATTCTTAGTTTAAACCAAGAAATCTTTGAGGAATATGTTTAATCCTCTTTGCTGAGGTCATGATTTGTTGTTTTAATATACCCACGTTCTTACTTAAATGTATATTGGATGATGTTCTTTGTCTGGGTGGAACATCAAAATAAGTGGTCCTCCCAACTGTCTATAATTTTGGTGATATGTTCACGTAAGGCCGTCCTACGTGCTCGTCCCCATTTTCACTTACTGGTGGTGAGTCTGACAGTGAAAAAATGGCAAAAATCGGCTTTTGGAAAGTAAGCTTGTGTGAGCAACGCAAACAGCAACTATAAACAGAGCATGCACAAGGAGAAATGGGCTTGTGCATGCTCTCTCATGTTTAATAGGCGTTCCCTCTCGGGAGTGGGTAGAGGGTTGTGCATGTGCATTTTTCCTGAAAGTGGAAAGGGTGGTCTTTTCAAAAATCCTCCACTATACCTTTAAGGATCCAATCATTGTTTTAAAGTATGGTGGCAAGTGCTCCAGTTCAGCAGTATAACACCCAGTATGTGAATGTCTCTAACATTTAGGATGACTCAAAGACCAAGATCCTGAATACAGGTGGACAGAAATGAGCTTTCTTCACAGGGTTGCTTGGCACTCCCTCAGTGATCTGGGAGAAGCTTGCAGAAGAGCCACTATTCCTCCACATAAAAGGATTCAGCTAAGGGGTTCTTACATCCGCCCTAGAACACCCATGGCCTCCCCTGAAGCAGCTGGAAGAGACATTTAGGAAGAGAGTCTTGGAGTTTTATGGATTAAACAGAAGAGTCCAGAACCTTCTTGCTGGAAGGCGAAAGTGCTACAAACTGCACCAGCATGCAGCCCTGCAAAGTATAGTTTTCTTTCTTTTAGAAAAAGCTCCTACAACACTAATTTCTAAATATATAAACAGGATAATTCAATTTATATACAGTGCTTCTGCATTATGGGACAGCCTTATGCCTTGGGATTTGTCCGGTTTGTTTAAGACTGGACAATATTAAGTCTCAACAATTCAGCTCTGCTTGGCTGGCCAGGGGGCGGGGCTTACACTTTGTCCCATACAGAATCAAGAACAGCTCCTTTGAGATTCTTACACTTTCTTTAGACAAAAAAAGCATGACCAAAAAATTTAGTAAACAATAATAAAAAAAAAACTCTAAATCTGATCAATTCAAACATACTAAAATATAATTCACAGCTGCAGTTGAAAATTATCTAAATGAAACCCAGAAGTTGCAATGTAGTTTAACTCTTTAAATACTGCATATACAAAAACTGTGGATTACAATTTATAAAACCACAAACCAACTTTTACCCTTGAAAGGAATAAAAGCTAAAAGGACATAAGGTAACTGATATATTTACTACAAATGATTGCTTAATTGTGTAACTATTGTTTTCCTCAGTAGAGATTATGCCTTTATATTAATAACGCTTCTCTATAGGTATACCGGTAGTTATAACCTTCGAGACTTAATGTTTCCCAGAGAATTTATCAATATATTTTGCTTCTCGGAGCAGAATAATCTACTAATCTAAACAAATAGGAAAATACTGATGTAGATGACAAAATGATGACTAAAGCACAAGTATGAGTTTCTAGTAGCTCTAATTATGAAAGTAGTGTAAAAAAAAAAAGTTAACTTTACTCACCTATGATATAGGAGATGAATCCAGGACAGTAGCAAACTGTGAGCTAACAGGCAGAACTACAGCTAATAAAAATAAAAAAAATAGTACCTGCTCTGTAAATTTGCTCTATTTAGTTTCTCACTGCAGATATATTCCTGGTTTCTTTTCCTCTATTTCATGCTAACTTCAGCTGGTGTTAAAGCTCGGCTGAACTTGGCTTCACTGGTTCAAACTGTGTTGTTTACGGATTTCGCTCCAACCTTTCCTAGGTTCCTCTAGGAAGAGTGTCTGAGGTGCGATCCGGTTCCAGAACAGCAGTTTAGACCAGAATCAATGAAGAAGTCAGCCTCAAAATGTACAAATCTGTATACAGACATTTTTATAGCAAGAAATATGAAGTTAATCGAGTTAAAATGTAAAATCCAGATTGTTGTCTGAAGATTTGTTAGTACACAAGTTAAAATAGCACCAATTCTATTCATTTTTACTTAACTAAATGTAAAAAGAAGCCATGTGAGAAAATACTTTTTAGTAATTGATGTTTGATTTATCGTTTTAAATAAACATGTTATCACACAAACAAATGTTTGGTGAAAATTCTGTTTTTTTAAAAGACAAAGGTAAAAATACGTAGACATTCATATGTGCCACACAGTGTGCACATGAAAAATAAAGAATGTTATATTCCAATGGTATGTGATTATACACGTCTTGCAAAGGATTGTGGGAATCTGCACAGGTCCTTATGTTAAATGAGCTATGATAGGAAGCTTCCTGCTTCCTTTTTATATCCCCATCCTTTTAGGTTTTACTCCCCGGAAAGCAACTCACAAAACTGCAGTCATGAAATATCAAAGAGTAAACTCAGAATTTCTAAATGTAAAAAAAAAAAAAAAAATGTATATGTATATATATATATATATATATATATATATATATATATACACACACACATACATAAACACACTGAACAATTCATGTGGCAATTCAAAACAGTAAATTAAAAGAAAAAAACTGTTCTGTAACAAAGAGGAGTTATCGAACAAAGTGTAAATATAAACCAGCAAGGAACTTCATTAAAGATATGGTATATAGACAATAGACATTATTGACAATAATGTGTAACTAACTGCATATTCAATAGAAATATAAGGTTTAACCTATTTTTGTTTTGTATGAGAAGGGAAAGAAATAAGATCTCATAACTTCAACCTCTTTCTTTTCAAAGCTAATTGTGTAAAAAAAAGTGCATGCATATTTTATTTATTTTTTTTGTTTCTTTTACTTTTGTTTTTAAAAAATAAATTGCTATGGACTAAATGTAAATACCTTTTTCTAAACAGGGTGTGAAAATACATTTTAATTGTAAATTTTTAGACAACTTTCTGCATTTACATTTTTTTATAGTTTAATGCTCTATTCATTTTTGCAAGGTTAAATTTCTCCAATGTGATCAATAAAGTTACATTTTTATTAAACTGACATGGCTGAAAGAAAGAATAAGTTCATTTATAAAAAGAAGAACTGAAGATCCACAAAAACCCAGAGAATTATTCTAACATGTCAAAAGATGAGCTTCAGTATGAAAATAGAGTGAAGGATTCAGCATTTCTGCATCCTGAGAGCAGCTGGAATAAATCAAACCTGGAGCTGTGATGCTGATAGCAACTTTGAGCTTTTTATAGCATAAAAATCTGATCTGATGCAGCTGATGTAATTATTGCTTTTAGAAGAAAAACTACTATATTTCGCTGGAGAAAAATAGTCGGTGGATAAAAAGGACCTGCTTTCTATTCCAACTTTATTTATGTGGAGATGCTGGATTATTCGAGAGGAACTTCAGGAGCCTCGAGGAGTTCTCTTCCCAGCTCTGAATCTCTCAGTGCAAACAGTGTGATTCCTGAACTATAAGCAGCTGGGATGGTAATGTGAGTCGTTTTGGGTCCATCTTCTTCCAGCTCCTCCAAGATCATTTTTCTCACTTGACCTAAAAGAAATGAAAAACATCATCAAACGGTCTGGTTTAAAGGTCTGCAAAAGAAGCATCACAGGTAGCGGCTTCACCGTCGACGTCCAGCTCCCGCCAACGTGGGTCGGACTGATCCTCTGAGAAGCCGGGCGGCGAGCAGTGGGGCTCTAACCTCTGCAGGACGTCTTCCCGACGAACCAGCAGCACGGATTGGCTGCAGAGTCTCTGGTGCACCTCGTCCTCTTTGACTGAATAAAAACACAGGACAGCGTTCCAAAAGCGTTTTAAGATGACAGTGAAGATCAGAGCGCAATAAGTTTAACTGCATAAAAAAACTGGACTAACTCACCTACATCCAAAGGGTTGGTCATAAACACAGCATTGGGTGCGACTCCAAATATTAGCTGATGGTGCCAAGCGTCAGGCACCTCCTCGCCATCAGGCACAGCCAGCTGCATGTTCATGGTTGCCACGGGGACGGCACCCTTTCTGATCCAGCGTGCCAGCCAGTGGACCAACCTGATACGACGGCGGGGATAAAGGTGGAAGAACCGGCCCAATGCCTTCCCTCCGCTGGCCTCCTCTGCCCCCCGGATGAGCTGAGCATGGGTCGCACCTTTTAGACGTTGAAAAGAGAGAAATGTCGGAAACTTTTCAACCATTTAACTCATTTACATTTCTATCCTGTTTACAGCTACAAACTTTATTGTATTTTATTTGGGTTTTTTGTTTAATAAAAAAACAAACTTGTTCCTGATGTTTAACCAAGTACGGGATAAAGTGAACATGTCTTTACACAGATGGTATAAAAATATAAAAGCACAGCACATGTTAAAGGAAGTATTGCAGCGTTAAATTAGAAAAAGTTGAAAATAAAATTCTCACACCTAAGATAGCAAAAAAGAAAAAGTAAAAAAGAAATTAAGTTGCATGGTCGGTTCAGACAGACAGAGGCCATCAGGGGCCAATGCCCCAGCAGAACTGGTCTTGGCCCCTATAATGAAGAAAATACCGCAGAAGGTAAATATAAACATAGATAAGACAATTTTTCTCGGAATAAAATATAGAAGGTATGAAGTTATGCAGATGCAAAACATGTATGGAATAAAAATATATATTTTAAGTGCATATATTTATATTTATCAGCATGCTTAGTGTGAGGGATTGCATCCAAGTCAATGTGTCAATGAAATCAACTGGTTTTCCTTAGATAGAAAACTTTGAACAAATTTGACCGTATGATCTGGTTGAATTGTAAAGTGCCTTGAGATGACATGTGAATTGGTGCTATATAAATAAATTGAATTGAATATTACTTTAACAGAAAAAAATGGTAATTCCTTTGGCAGATTATCCACCTTCTTAAATTAAGGACACATTGACTTATTTTATTTCATTTAGATTATTTTTTACAATATAATAGCAATTACATTTCTGAAAATGTTATGTGCTGACAAAGGAGACTGTAACTGGTTTGTTCCTTTAATTAATTTAATGTTTTTCCTTTATAATTTACTTTAACAATGAAATGACAGCTTCATGCTTCATCCATTTTAAAATAAGGCGACAGTTTTCATCTGTTAGATCAGGAGTCTAATCTATGGAGCTAAATTGGAGCCATAAAGTTGATAAAAAAAATGTAAACCTCAAAAAAGGTTGACAATCTTTTTATAAAAACTCAAAAAAGTTTGTTGAAAAACAATTAAACCTGTAAAAAAGTTTGCATAAAAGGAAAACATTTAAAGCTGAAAAAAGTTGGTTAAAAAATATTTTGAATTTTTTTCCCCCCAGGTATATATATTTATTTTGAAGAAACTTTTTTAGACAAACTGTATTGCCCCTAGTTTAGCTCTATATAGTATGACATTTTTGGCCCCCTTAATAAACTAAACCATACACTTTTGCTCTTTTTTTGTGTCATTTTATTTATTATGATTTTTATCTTGCTTCATTCCTATATTTTTAAATTATTATGCTCTTTGACCCCACATGGAAAACAAAAAGCAAACTGCCCCCCTCCAGACCCGCCTATTACCGCCCCTGGAGCAGATCAAGCTCACCAGCTTCACTGCGGGACAGCAGGTAGTCAGGCAGCGGAGACTCGTTCCTCCTCAAGCGCGTCCTGACGCAGCGGTCAGCTTCTTCTGGAGCCACATCAACTCCCAGAGCCTTCAGCACATCAACCACTGCTGTGGCTCCGCAGGCAGATGCTCCGATCTGCAGGGTCTGCCTCTCCAGAGCCTCCTGGATGGACCACAGCATGGCTGAGGAAGCCTCCTCCATCTGCACAGCCACAGAGCATGCACGCCCCTAAATCTGTAGCACATTCATACTGTCCACCATTTTATTCATTATAAAAGACGAAAGCATTTATGTCTCAGTCCTGCTGCTGAATGTCTGATATTTTCCTCTATTAGTCAATCAGATTGACAGCCACCAGCTGGCTAAAACAACAAAGCAGACTGCGCATGCGCACTCCACATATTCGGCGGCTTTATTCTGGGGCGGCACGGAATCAACGCTACAGCTAGCGCCCTCTACTGGCCATTATCCGATTTGCAGCCATACAGTGGATATTTTTCCCCATATTAAATAATTTTGATTAATTTACTCTGATTTAACATTTTAATCATCTCAGATGCAAAAAAAAAAAAAAAAAAAAAAAATAGTGTAAGTTTATTCAGACATAAAAATACAAAGTCAAGTTATGTTTGCAAGATAGTTAATTACATGCCTGGCTTATTACAGCAAAATTAAATTACACTTCACTTAACGAAAAACAATACACTGAGAATAGAAGAAAAAATAGTTCACTTACAATTATAATTTTCAAATATAATAATTAATTAAAATCAGTTTATTTCTATAGCGCCAATTAACAACACAAGTCATCTCAAGGCACTTTACAGTTCACCAGATCACAGTCAAATTATTCAAAGCCATTTCTATCTAAGGAAAACCAGTTAATTGCATTGACTCGAATGCAATCCCTCACACTAAGCATGCTTGTAGTGACAGTGGAGAGGAAAAACTCCCTTTTAACAGGAAGAAACCTCCTGCAGAACCAGGCTCAGTGTGAGCGGCCATCTGCCGAGGACGACTGGGGTTCAAGGAGACAGAAGCAGAGATACAAAAAGCAGCGTTAAAAAGCGGCCCAGTCAAGGAAACACAGCCAGGCAGACGATCTCTGAGCCAACTATTGCACATAGTTTTTTTTTTAACTGTGCACAATTCAAACATGACAAACAATGGAGATAAAAAGAGTGACAATGTTGTCATGTTATGACAATATCCACTTGGAGCCCCCCACATTATCAAGAAGGCATCTGAAGTGGAAACAAGCCCCCAGCATCCCAGACTCTTGCTTACAGCTAACACTAAACATTGATTTAGTTTTAGCATTTGCTGTACTTTGGTAGAAATCTATCAGTATCCTAATCTTAACAGAAAATATAGCACATCAGAAAGTCTAATTTCTTGTGGTGTTTTAGGGGAAAGTTTTAAGGTGTTTGATGCATGTACATAAAAACCCCAGTTCCGACTGAAAGAGCACCAACCCCTCAGCTTGATAAAATTAAACCAATAGATGTTTACTGTTTTATTATCAATTCTGCATTACAACAAACAAGAAAAATAGCAATTTTATACATGTAGAGAGGAGAAATTATACATGCATATACATATTCACAAACCTTGAAGGGTAAAGATACATGATAATCTGATTGCTAAAAATAAATGAAAAATGAGCAAAACATCAATGCAGAGAAAAGCAGTCTGAAAGTTTATACATTGTATTCATTACAGTTTTAAATTAGTGTTAATTACATTAGTAAATTATGTTATTGCAATGAAATTAATTCTTAGAACAATCACAATAATAGCAAAAATCATAGTTATTTGTTATGATATTGATAATAGTGTAATAGTAAATAATAATAATATTAGTCATAATAATGTTTGCTTTTCCCGAAATATTTCTAGTGAGTTTGTCCTGTTTAGTTGCTGTTTTCTTTGCAAAGCAGAAAATCCAACAGTCATGTAAAATAGTAGGGAAAATATTATCTCGAAAAAGTTTGCACATTTATACAACCTCTCATCCTCAAACTATTTTCTTTTTTGCTCTCAATCCTGAACACTTTTGACGAATCATGATGCAGTTCCCGTTATGGCCAGCAGATGTCAGTGTAGCTCCATGAGGAGCAGAGAAGATGGTATGCAAAGAATTTTTTTTTATATCAGATGCTGCAGCCTTGCTGTGGTTTCATACCTAATTCAATATTCGAGATATTTAGAAGAGATTTCCTGTAATTATAAAGCATATTTACAACTCTCCCTTTTAACAAATTCAAACCAAGCTGGTTTAGATTCATGCAGAACTTGGAGTTAAAAACTATGAAGCATTAAAACAGGACAGCTGTTTCTTCCTAATTATTTTGGAGGTAAATTGTGCAAATAAGCAATGCTGACTCTTCCTGAATTTCCGTGAGCGTCATAAGGCTCCTGGATGAATTCCTTGATGCATCTGTTGGCAATAAAGACACAAATTAAACCTGATACTGTCAGTTTGATCCCTCACTACTGTAATGTGATCATCCCTGATCCAGCATCCTGGTTGGTATTCCTCTCACCTCCGCCCCCTTCTGCGTTTTCCCCTTAGTTACAGTGATGTCTGATAGAAGCAGCACGATCAGATGGTGATTAAACCTGACTGAGCTCTGAGAACGTGATCCCACAGCTGATATAAAAGAGAGCCAGCAGGAGGGATGAGTGAGGAAGAGATGCAGAGGAGAAATCTTTATGTGTTTGGGATGAAAGAAACAGAGGAGCAGCCTTCACCTCAGGTTCACCTTTCACCATCTGCAGATGTGAAGGATCTTGAGGGATTAGAGGCATATAAAATAGATTATGTGCTTATTTTATAAATAACTTCAGCTTAATGGCTGCTTTAGATGTGTGAACCAGAGATCAGCTTGGCTTTGATCTATAACAACTCGTCAATAGTCACAAAGACAAAACACATTAAGATTAAGAGTAATGAATAAAAAAAAATGTTTTTTATCCGAGTTAAAATGAATAACTATTTTATTCATAACTGTAAAAATAACTTCTTGAAATACATCAAAGACAGATCATTTAAGCTGAGAAAAGCCCTGATTTGTGGGAGTTTGCTTTAGAAGCTGGAAACCAGATAAACACACTAATAAATCACCAAATGGTTTCTCCCAAAGTGTTTAAAATTAAATGCATCTAAAGTTTTTTTTTCTGTTTTGGATGCATCTGGTACTTAAATTTTCAGTGTGCACCCCTCAACTTATAAGACATATATATATATATATATATATATATGGGTATATTATAACATACACTGTTAGAGAGCAGTTCTAACAGAATCAAGAGTTTGCCAAATGTTCCTGTTCACTGAATGTTTTATAACTGGCACTAAGTGAATGCACATACGATCTTTTTAATACAAAGGGTTTCACTTTCACATTTTAATATGAGAAAATAGCAATGATATTCAAATATGACATGTAACAAGCACAGATATAACCGAGAGAAGGATTAGAATACAGAGGTCAGTTCAGCAAGAAGTCAAGACAACCGCAATCCTCTACTCTATAATCACAAATAAAGCACAAGGAGGTGTTCAGATTCAATTTCCATCCAATTACCAGATAAAATAGCGCACAAAACATGAAAATATAATAAATAAAATATATCATACTCACCAGAGATGCTGATTATTTATAAACAAAATGTACATGTACTTTAATGAACATGTTGACAACCCTGAAGACAAAGGTGCAAAAGAACTGTGTGTACACTTAAAAGTTTTAGTTTGACTCAACATGTTAAACAGCAAACACAGAATCAAGAACATATTTTTAGCCTGGTCATCAGCAAAGGTCTAAATATTTCTAATGTTTCTGTAACTGAAATTGCCCTATCAGATAATTTTTTCCAGCTGATCTAATTACCAAAATAAATGTTTTAATAAAGTGTGTTATCATGGACAGTACAATTAATAACCCTACCTAGGCTTATCCCTCTGCTTCCACTTTACCCTGTAACTCAGTAGATAAGCTGGTTGATAGTTTCCATTCTAAAGCTGCAGATATCATTGATTCCATTGCTCCAGTTAAAGTGAAGGTTGTCTCTGGGAAGATGGAGAAATGCTCCAGGAGTGAGAAATGGAAAGAGGGACTGCAGAAATATCAACGCAGATGGCAAAAGAATGGACTCCAACTATACTATGAAATCTATGAAGAGACTTCACACATATACGACTAAAATATGCAAGAATCTTTCTTCTCTGAGATTATCAACAAATACATCAAATACACCTTATATGCCAGTCGACATGTTAAACCCTCTATCACAATGGCAGATAATTCCAGAAAATGCTCAAATTCTGCCCAATAAGCTGCAAAAGTTTAGAAGAAACCATGCAGCAGCTAAGCTCTACTTCCTGCTGTCTTGATGCTTTACCCACAGATCTTATTAAGAAGGTTTTGCCTGTTTTAGAGTTTGATTTAATTCAACTCATAAACACATCCCTGTGTCGGGCGTTTACCCCGAGCCTTAAAAACAGCAATTATTATTAAACCATGGTTGAAAAAGCAAAGATTGGACAAATTGGTCGTTCAGAACTAAAGACACATCTCTAACCTCCCCTTCATCAGTAAGATTATAAAAAAGCTCTTAACAATTACCAGCTGCTTTGATGTCTTCCAGTCAGGTTTCCGTGCCAACCACAGTACAGAGACTGCCCTGATTAAGGTGTTCAATGGCATCCGTATAAACTCGGACAATGAAAGAACCAAAGTTCTGGTATTACTGGACCTCAGTGATGCGTTTGATACAGTTGCTCACTGGATTCTATTAGAGCCTCTGGAAAACTGGGTCTGCCTTTCTGGTACCACGCTGGACTGGTTTAAATCCTACCTAAAGGACAGGGAGTTAAATGTGTAATTAGGGAACTTTAAATCAGAGACCAGAAAACTCACATGTTGGGTTCCTCAAGGCTCCATCCTGGGGCCCCTCCATTTCAACATCTACATCGTCCCCTCTTCTGCATAATTGAGTTACCTTAAGTGTGTAGATGACCCAGAGGGTTTGCTAGATGCTTAGAACAGATCAATACGTGGTTGTGCCATAATTTTCTCCAACTGAATAAAAATTAAACTGTTCAGACCAAAGGTGGAGAGATCCAGAGTTAGCTCACAGCTTCATCTATTACAGATAGAAACCACAGATTATGGCTGAGATGTTGGTGTCTGATGGACTCAGATCTAAACCTTGAGAGGCACAAAAAGGCAGTTACAAAGTCAGCCTTTTATCATCTAATGAACATCTCAAAGGTTAAAGGAGTAATGTCCAAGCAGGATCTAGAAAAACTCATTCATGCATTTATCTTTAGAAGAATTGCTTACTAGAACAGTGTCTTCACAGGTTTGC